AAGTATAAATATTGTATAGTATAAATATTGTAAAGTATAAATATTGTAAAGTATAAATATTGTAAAGTATAAATATTGTAAAGTATAAATATTGTAAAGTATAAATATTGTAAAGTATAAATATTGTAATGTATAAATATTGTATAGTATAAATATTGTAAAGTATAAATATTGTAAAGTATAAATATTGTAAAGTAGAAATATTGTAAAGTAGAAATATTGTAAAGTATAAATATTGTAAAGTATAAATATTGTAAAGTATAAATATTGTAAAGTATAAATATTGTAAAGTATAAATATTGTATAGTATAAATATTGTAAAGGATATGCATCTCTCATTCTCTGCATTTCTTCTATTGCATTCGGCGCTGAAAAATAAAACAGAACAAACTTTAAGTTATATCATATGATTTAAATTAAGACTATGACTTGCTTTTAAAGGGACAGATGCGCCATTTTGGAGGGTTGATTTTAGTCTTGAATATATTTAAATAGTCCTCAGAAGTACTGGAAATTAACGAAAATTGCATAATTCCATCAAAAATATCTTTAAAAAGGAATTTTATACAAAATTTCTATATATGTCTTTTCTATATATCACAGAGCACTTAAAATGACGGGTCCATTAGCTAAAAAAATCCCGTTTCTGAGACTTGAGTAGGATTGGTCAAAAACAATGGCGCACCTGTCCCTTTACAATTTAATTTTCAATCCGTGCAACCACAGCTAGAAACTGTTCAGGGTTAATTTGAACAGTATCGCATCACAGTTTGCAATGCCTATGTTTCCAATGATTAGTAAATTTTTACGACGATCTGCAAATCAAATAACATTGTATATATTTCAAAAGAACTGTCTGCTAAATCTAGAAATTTTCGTCAAATGGTTTCTATAACCTTAAGGAACTAACATCATTGATAAAATCAGTCTTCTACTGGAACATTTTAAATTGCTACTGAATTTCAATGTGAATCTAACTTGATTAGTCAAAACTGAAATTGGGTGTGTTGAATTGCTAATCAAATTTTTTAATCTATATTGAACTCTGGTATAGAACAGCAACCAGAGCAATTTCCAAGGTACATCATATGTCTATAATCTCAAGTTTGGCATGGCTTTAAAAATCAATAAATGTCTGTACTGCCAATGCCTGTACTATATTAGTTTTAAAGTCTTTAAATGGCATTTAGCAATTGTAAGCACAATATATAGGCACAGCTTTATAGAACAACAATCACTGGTTTCAAATCTTACTAATTATTGGGCGCAGACCAGGGAAACATCTTAGCTTCTAACCTCCTGCAGCAAGCAGTTCAGCTAGTTCCTCTCGTCTGCGGAAGTTTTACTTTGGTATAATAGTTACTTGATAAAGTATAATCAGAACAGTCTGAGGTTTTGTTGGGATGATCTAAGTCTGATTAAAAAATATTAAATGATAACACAGTTTAACCCAAATGGGTTAGGATTGGATTCACCATGCAGTGTACAACTGGGTAATTTTTGCCTTGAAATGATTTATGTTTACAAGGTTTTGTCAGGATGACCTAGGAACTCTGATTAAAAAATATTAAATAATTCAACATTTTAATCAAATCTGGCCTAGGATGTACTGGGGCAAAACCATGCAGTGTAAATTTTGCCTTGACACAATAGAAGTTTTTATCAGGGTGAACTGATATTGACTGATTAAAGCATACCAAACGATAAGAACAGTTTAATCTGCAGAGTAAAATCACGATTTTGGCTACACCATGCAAAATGTGCAATGTGGAAAATTTTATCTCGAGACATCAACCAATCTACAATCTTTGTCAAAGTTTTGTCAAGATGACCTGATATCGTCTGATTAAAAAATATCAAATGATAAAAACTGTTTAACCCAAGGAGTAATATCATGAATTATTAAAACCATTGTTAGACTTGATAATCTAGTCTAGGGTCAACCAGACAATTTGAATATTCCTTTATTCATTGATCTATCAAATAGAAATATAAAGAAATTAAAAAGAGTAGTCTGATGGTTTTTTTTTCATTTTTAATAAAATGTTTTATGTCCGGCTTTTCTGCACCATGTGGGCAGACGGGCAACGTCACGCAGGGTGTGATGAGGGAAATTTTGCCAGGACATCGACATTAGCCTGCTCTTTTTTGATTCAAACTGTCGAGGGATCTTTAACGTGCACAGCCTGTAGCACACACAGGACCTGGGTGTATCGTCTCATCACTACATGCTTTTTGCCTTGTCAGGTACTCTTAGCTACAACACAGACAGGGGAAAACAAGGTTGAAAATGCGAAGATGTTATCCTAAACCCATGCCAGGATTGAAAAATGGACCTAACGTCTAACTCATTGAGCCCCCAGTGCGCCATAAAGGATTACTTAGATCTTCTAAATAAAATCTCCATTTGAATCAGATTTAGAAAATGAAGTCTGATATGATATGGTCTTTCAGGGACAGAATAAATCTGAATGATAAAACAATGCTAAATCTGGCGTTTAATTCTGACAGGTCGATTTCATCAGAACAAAAAAACAAGACGACATACGAAATTACCTTGAATAATATTATTAATCATGAGACAGGAGACTCCCTCGCATTGTTATTAATTCTCTATTCTATTCATCATAGATCAGGCAATATATATATTACTATTTACTATTTAAATGAAGGCTGTGGCTATTCCCACAGGGAAGGTACAAAAATGGGCATCAAAAAAATATATAGCCATCCCTACCTAACCCTAACAAAGTCACTTAATATCATTCTTGACAATCTAAATGGCTTCACACTTTAAAAAAACAAAAACTACCGCGTCTATTGTGTCTTATCTGTACCGTTGTCATCCTTGGAGGTACATGTGTGGGAAGCAAGTATTATGGCTAGATTAGTCTCTTTGAGACTTTGAGAAATTCAAGAATTATGCCAAGACCTATAGAACTAGGAACTAATGGTACTCTTCCAAGTTAAAGGTTCCTAGTTTACTCAAGTCAAATCCCCAGTTCTGTTATATTACCATTTATGTTCAGTTAAAAGAAACATTACACCTTCAGGTGCTCCCATTTCATGTTTAAACTGCTTCGTTTTTCAGTCTTCTTCTTTCCTTTCTGACAGTTATGGTACTTTGTAAGAAGATGTAAGATGAACTTGTTGCTGATCCCAAGCTATACTCTCAATTATCAAAGTGATTGTAAACAGGTTTTCTAAATTTTTTATGTGCCTGGGGGACACTGATAACATCAATTTGTAACATTCTAATTTTCAATCAGAGGCTGGTGGTTCATGCAATTTCATTTAAACTGGGCGTTTGATGATGTCACTTATCGTGAAATGTGCTTTCTCACAAAAAGAACTCTGTGATTAGTGACGTCATAATGGAATTGAAGGGACCACAGACATCTGATTGAAAATTGGAATGATGCAAATTGATGCTATCAGTGTCCCCGATACACATAAAATTATTATAAAACCTCTATACACTGTCTTTAATTTGTTATATGTAGTCTGCAATCTTATTCAAATGTGATCATCTTAAATACTGGTCAATGTGATTGCTTGACAATTGGTATTTGAAGCTGGCACATACTATACCTAATATTGACATTGTTCTAGTAGGAAGAATAAACTTACATGTCAGCATGTTTTACAAACTCTTAACTAAGGTGTTAACATAAAGATTTCAATAAAATAATCAGTCTTATAAAAATTAGACCAAGTTCCATTTTTAAAAGCTTTTATTTGTAACATAATCACTTCAATTAGGGTCTAACAACAGCCCTCAAATTGACCTTTTGACCTAACCTGATAAACACAGTGTCACAAAATACCAGTGATGGAGAGGGTAGATAATTGATTGGTTAAAGCAGACGTTAATTCAAAAGGTTAATTTGACGAAAGTGGCTACATTAAAAATAAAAGCTAATGAATAGAAACATCACGAAAGTTTGGTCTATGTCAATTGGACTAAAATTAGTAAGAAAGTAATCAGAGCTAAATTTAAATTCAATTTTTTTAATAGACCAAACAAATGACTTGAAAATTGTTAATACTTAAAAACTTGATACATTGAAAATGTAATCAATAATAACTTTTATAGAATTTTCCTCCACCTTTTTTCCTTAATGAAGATCTACAAGCAATTTAACTACCTTCTGATCATCCCAAATCGTGTTAGAAACTTTTCTACAATCTTAAAGGGACGGAATCGCCATTCGTTGGTGATTGATTTGGGTATTGAATATATGTTAATAATCTTAAGAAATACTAGAAATTTAACGTAATCGCATAATTTCTTCAAAAATACTTTAAACTAGGAATTTCACTTTCTGCAAGCTTATGGCAGAGTTTCCAGAAAAGATGAGACGACATTTTAACTTTCTAATGCGGATAATTCTAGACACACATGGATCCAAATATCGACGGTGAGTTGTGAACACTTTTACTGATTGACTTAGCTAAATTCACGTTTCTGGAAGTAAGGTACCATTGGTCAAATGGATGGCGAACCTGTGCCTTTAAACAATTTACCAGGAATATCTAATTTTTAATTATTAAAGTATCTGACACTTTAAACTGGTAATTTGAAACTAGCCAGGTTTACATCAATTTACTATTTTATTCACTCAAGTTTGTTTTATTAAATTTCTGTGGCTTTAAATTGTCAATAAGAGAATTTCATTAAATATGAAGGCACAGACTTCAATGAAGTCTAGAAACTTCTCAATGAACTTTGTCCTTGATGAGATATTAAAGAGACAGATGCAACCATTTTTGGGGGTTGATATGAGTCTTGATTATATCTTTACAAATAATTCCTTGAAAAAATTCTCAAATAGGAATATATTTTCTATCTAAGGCAGTGTCTCAAGAAAAGACAACTCATGGATTAGAAGGCTCAAATTTCGACAGTGAGATGTGAACACTGATTAGTTTACCTAAAAAATTCCAGTTTCTGCGACTAAGGTACGATTGGTTAAAAGAATGGTGTACAGGAAGCTGTAAAGAAATCTTTAGTTTCTGTGTTTAAAAGTATCAATTTAGTATAAGATTACTCTGTGTATTTAATTCCCTGATGAGTTTGTGGTTTCAATTTCTGTGGCTTCAAAATGTAAATAAAACTGACTTCGACTAAATATGAAGGCAAAGACTTCAATTACTTTGATTTTACAGATTCTTTGAATTTCTCATAAGTATTTTATTTCATTTGCTATAATTGCCGAAGAAATGAGCTTCACTTGTCCAATTTTGACTTTGATTTGTCAAACAACCTGTAACTTCAATTGCAAGTCTCAGTAAAAACAAGCTGTGTGGCACCAGATAGGGTATGCTTACTCTTCTAGACACCTGATACCACTTTTCATTATGCAATACTCACTAACTTATAATTGATATACTTCCTCATGTGAACAGTTCATTAGCTGCTACCAATGTTTCATCAATGTTGTTACAGATTTCGGGTTTCGTGTTGCAATTCGGATCATTAATACTTGGTTTATTTCTTCAATTTCAGCTTCAATTGCTCAATGTAAAATTTCAAAACAGACTGTGAATTCAATTGTTTCCAGAAATAAGATATCAGATTTGATTTTTGTCTGCTGAATTTTCATTTTCCAATTGTCCAATTAGAAGTCACAAAGGAAACATGCTTTGAGTTCCAAATCCTGCTTTCCATTGCTAAATTCCCATTTTCTTAACAGATTTTGACTTCAATAAGAAGTCACAGTTCTCATAAAAGAGTTTTGATATTAAATTTGTGCCTTCAATAATCAGTTCAAGTTTTCTAAACAAGTTGCGACTTTAATAAAAAGTCACAGCAGACAAAGAATCAATTTTCAATTTCTGCCTTCAATTTCTCTATTTCATTTTCTTAACAGACTGATTTCAATTCTGTCTAGAATCAAAATTTTTGCCTTCAATTGCCGAATTTTGACTTCAATAAGAAGAAGCAGCAGAAAGAAGTTTTGATAATCAATTTGTGCCTTCAATTACTTTATTTATATTCTATTAAAACCGTGCAGAAACGATCTATATGAATCAATTGCTAAGTTTCAATATTTCCAAAAAGTCCCAGATGAAATGAACTTTTATGATTCAATTTCTGCATTTCAATTGCAGAATTCAAAATTCCATGCAGACTATCTATACTATATTATAATACAACTGAGAGTGTTTTATATATAATTTATTGGTTGAACTGTTGTATTTTACTGGCCAGACGCCAGTCTTATTCCACTATAGTGTTTTATACACAACTTTATCACCAGAAAAACACAGAAAGAAGCTACTTAAGATGTCTTCCATCAATTCAAACTAATTTATAGTTTGCTGTAAATTTCTCAATTCATGGTTTTATAGCTAGGCCAGGAGAGTTTTAAAATTAACAAGTTTATATGTCACAGGAGACTGTGAATTTCTTTGCCAACTTTTTCTTCTGTATATTTTGAAAACAAATTTTAAGAAAATTTATAGTTTAGTGAACGCCATTGATTCACCTCAAGAGACCTGTTACAATATCAATAAGAAATTTACTATGAATATGTGATTTTGAAGCCCTGGAAGTCAAACCCATCTTATGTTAAACTACTTCATAACGGCCCCTTCACCGGAAGCCCTAGTCTCCCCTTAGAACGTGGCCTGTAAAGTGGCTGGCTGGCTGCTAGTGTATAAAAGGTTTATAAAGGTCTATCAGATATACAGGAATATATGTGGAAATAAATGATGCTTTATCATGTGAGAACACTTTCAGCTCCGAATGCACTAGTAGTTCATGTAAGGTTTGTCACATGATAGAGCATTTTTTTCCACCCTTACCAATAAGAAGATCTACATCAATTCCTTACTTTTAATATCGATCTGTCTTTTCTAATAAAAACTCAAAAATGTTCAAAAACATGTGCTGTTGTTTCTATTAAGCAAGTGGATTTATGTTTATCAAATATCAAAGATATACTTACAGGAACTGGATTTAGAATTGGCGTTGATCAGACACGTTAATCCTGTCACCCAAATATTGGCCTCGTCAGCAGTGTTAGCGATCAAATCCATGGACTCAAAGTCTTCACCGAAAATAATAGAAAAAGCACATTCATCTGGATATACTCCTGCTATTTCCTTATTCCGTAATGCATCCGTAGTTTTTCCCTGTCTCACCTCCTTCACTGACGCTACTCCAACTAAAAAATACAGACAAATAATTCAATTATCAAATTTGTCAAAGAAAAAAAGAAATGCTCTCAGAACAGAAAATATAAATTTTGGGTAATAATAACAGGCAAGCGTTCTGAAAAACTTTTCCAATTCTCAAGGAAAAGATCCTTGAATGCTTTTCTGATCGCTTGATTTGTGTAATGTCAATGGTAAAAGTCCCAAAAATGGTTTACTGCAAAAACGAACTTTAAACTCCAACAAGTAGTGTTACATTACAATGTTACAATTTTGTATAAAACCATTGCTTAAATCTACTATATACTCATAGCCAAAAATTGATAACTTTTACTCTAACTATTGGTCATGAATGAATGAATCAATTTGTTAATAGATAAGCCAACGAATGAATGAAATGATGGCCTTGAGAATTTAAAGGGGCTGGAGATTTATTTATGAATGAATGCTAACAGCTAATGAATGCATGAAAAAATTGAAAGAATGAAAGTTAGTTAGTTAATAACCTTGTGAATGTAAGTATGTAAGTTGGGTTCAACAGAAAAATAAGCAGGATATTGACAACTGTTATAATGTCAAGGTTCATAGTTGAATAATCTACTATATTTTTTTATCTCATCATGTCCTTTAGATTAATTATCTTGAAATAACGCAGCAACGTGCATTTTCTAATCTCTTAGTCACAATTTGTTTAAATTTGGAAATGACAATAGAAGCGTTTAATACTAGATAATCTACACAGTTTTTTTAACAGTGTACTCTGTGATATCTTACATTGTTTTACAGTGTACTCTGTGATATCTTACATTGTTTTACAGTCCTAGAGTATGTTGGACTACACAGAGTATACACAACTTTCAAATTATGTCCTTAAATTGTTGCACTTAATACAGTTTGTAGTACTTTAAGGAACAGTCCCAGAGAGAACAGAGAACTGGGAACTGAGTAGTCTACTCTAGTTTAAAGAGTAAGTTCCAGATAAGAAAAATATCAAATCAAGTTTGCCCAATAAACATATATAAAACACCCACTTTGATGTATACTCAGTAGCTAAGGGGGGCCCCTAAGATAAATTTAGATGCCTGAATGACCCCTTAAAAGATGTTGGCCCCTGAGACCCTGGGCTAGCTACAGTCAGTGAATACCTATCTCAAAAAAAGGAATTAAATCAATCTATTTAACAATAATTAGTTGTCTGTAGTTTTCAGATGTATCATATACCTGGATGCAATAACAAAATTTTATTTTATTAGGAAATGATCATGTGCAAAATAGTAAGACTTAAAGTTACCCTTATATTACATTTGTAACCTGGCAAAAACAAATCCTTCTTCAATACAATTATCTGACTACGATATGTAACAAACGTGAAATACATGTTAAGTTGCCAACAGCAAATCAGTTTAAAGACTTGAACAATAGCCTTGATTAATATGTCTCTTTCAATCATTGTTTGCGATTCCCTATAGACTTGAATGGCAGGTCATAGCACTTTTAGTCTACTCAACAATATTAGATTTTTATAAAGGCCGAAGGTTGTTGACCTTGCAACTTTCCATCTCTTAGAGCAGCCATTTTCATTAGTCAACTTTGCAATTGGCTGATTCTAGAACAAGTCATTTTCATTCCAGTGTTCATCTTGTAGAAATGAACATCAATTATACCAGTCATTTTCATTTAGATGTCCTTGCAACTGGCAGACCTTCGGGGTAGTCATTTTCATCTCAAAAGACTTGAACATCAATAGTTCTGGGTTTTAAAAAGTCATTTAGATTTCAAATGCCTGAATTTGAGCACGAGCATTAAAAACTGAATTCATTACACCTTTTGGAATCGACTTTAGATTAGAACAACAAAACTCCTTAATCAATGCCATTTAGTCCCTGTAGGCTAGAACAACAAGACAGGCTTTTTCAATGCCATGTATTCCCTTTAGACTTGAACAACAGGACATGCTTAATCAATTCCGTTTAGTCCCTGAAAAATTGAATAATAAGTCACTTTTATTCAATGCCATCTATTCCTTACAGACTTGAGCAACTAGTCACTCTTAATCAATGCTTGCTATTCCCTGTAGACTTGAATAGCAAGACTCGTTAATGGTTTTTCAATCTTAATCCCTAAAGATTGGAAGGAATAGCAACAATAACAGTACTGGAAGATATTAGGAATAAGCGTGAGTTATCGCCAAGGAGCGTGAAATAGCGTTAAATGTGTGAAATGGAAAATTTGTTGATAAAATCTATTCATTAATTGAAATAATTTGATAAAATCTTCATACTTAGATTATTCCTTTCAAATCGCGATATAGTTTGCTAAAGCGTCTAATTAAACATCACATATTGTTATTATATTAACATCATCACGGAAATAAAATCTCTCGCTCTGACTACCTCAGATATTTCAATAAAATTTGGACTCTTGTCTTTACAATAATAATAATCACTTTATTAGGATCTTTGAACTATGAACTGAGAATTTTCCAGAGTCTTGATGGTGTTCTATAAATACAATATTAAATATTGTTATTAATATCAGATTGCTATAGTACATTCAATCTTGCCTATCCATAGACAGAAATATCTTGAAACGATCACCCTCGATCCTAAACAGTGGACTCATGCCTTTAATATAATGAAGAAAAAGCCTTTATAAATACATAAACAGTGAATTTTAAAAGTTGTTATAAATGTGGTCGCTATAGTAAATTTAATCCTGGCTACCCCTAGAAATAAATATCTTGGAACGAACACCTTTAATCCTAAAACCATTTAAAATCAAATCTTTGGACTGTGAACAATGAACTCGGATAAAACAGAGTATTAAATATTGTTCTTAATATGTTATAATATTATATAATATAATCAATCTTGACTACCAACATAAAGTTAAAAATTTTGGAACGATCATCCTTAATCCTAAACTGTGGACTCATGAAGTTAATCTAATGAAGAAAAGACGAAAATAAAAACAGTGAATAAATGGCTGCTCCAAGAGACGGCAAGTTGCAAGGTCAACAACCTTTATAAAAATCTAATATTATGGAGTTGACAGTGAATACTAAATATTGTTATTACTATGGTTGCTATGGTAAATTCAATCTAGGCTACCCTAAGACAGAAATATCTTGGAACAACCACCCTTAATCCTAAAATTTGGTCAAGATCTTTAACCATTTAAAATGAAATCTATGAGCGATAGACCATAGACCCATAAACTTGGTAATGGCCAGTATACCACTGCTCTAACACTATTGCGTGGCTGATAATCCGGTCGCTAGGGTTGAAAGAGTTAATCCTAAAATTTGGACTCTTGTCTTTAATCTAATGAATACAGTGGACTATGAACTGTGTTGTCTTGATAGGGTTCTATAAATAGTATATTAAACGGTATTATTATTAAGACTAATAAAATCAATGATTATGTCTAGCAGATTTCTCGTTATAAATTGTCCAACTCAGTCCGTGTATTATCTCTTAATATCCAGACATTTCATATCTAATTTACTCACTGATAGAATTTAAAAGAAATTGATTGAATCGTGACAATATTGAGGTCTTATTTAACTATACTACATGTACAACATTTATCATATCTACAGTTAATTCATCTTTCTTTACTGCAAATTGTGCCGGGCAATATATAACGAATATAACAAAATTGAATTTCAGTGCTCCTGATGACCTTGTGAGGACAACCAAAGTCCTGCTGTATGCAATGAGGAAAATTTATCAGGTTCTGTGATAATTCAAATATTGATCAATACACATAATCTGCCATTCTTTGCCAAATTCTATGGAGCTAACAAAATGAGAGGTTTTCATCCTTCGCTCAGCCTCTAATTTAACGATCAAAGTCCTGCGGTATGCAATGAAGTAAAGTTTACCAGGTTTTACGATATTTCTACAATGTGATCAGCCTGTAGCACCAAGGGCGAGGGATAATAGTCCAATCTGAGCGTCAGGACACTATATTAATCTCAGTCCCTTCTACCAGCATCATTGATAGGGAAACAGAGAAGAGAAATCTGCCCTATGGTGGGGATGGAAAGAAAAAAATTTGGAAAGATCTATATTTTATAAGGATTACAATTTAGATTCACAGTTAAGGATCCTTTCTACCAGTAGCTGGTCATTGGCCAAACCCTTGGTATTGATATTTCCAGGATTATCTGTACCTATTTACAGCTGGGTGGACTGGAATTATGAGTGAAGGTGACTTATTCAATTTCATCGGACTTTCACACATGTCAGACTCTGATGCCGATGAAAAATTGAACCCACAGCTCGCATTCGCTTGACATAACCAAGCAAATAACGTCATGTAAAGAACTAACGCTCTAACCAACTGTGCTATAGAACAGAACCCTGGAACTCCAGGTTAACGACCAGCATCTAACTCACGAAATGTATTTAATGGGGCATCTAATCTTTCCATGACAGGAGATATACTACCCCTTAGGGGTTAATATTAAGTACAAAGACTGGCCCTTGGGGGTCCACTTTAAGTAGATAAGAAATCCCCTGGGTGTCAATGATAAGTAAAGAGGCAAGCCCTAGGGGTAAGAATTAGTTATAGAAATTAGGTAGATGATTAAATATAATCATTTAATTATCGACTTCCGCCATCCTTCTGGGTCAATGATCACAGTAGAGTAGGATTATTATAATAATCATTGAAGTATTAGTACTTATAGTGCCAACAGAGCACGATTTCTTTGATGTAACCATGTCACTCTTAACTTAAAATCATATCATCCCAGTCATAATTTATAATTGGTATCCAGAGAACCATACAGTACTTCTCAAAATATTCACAACCTGCTTTTACTATTATCTCAGAAATCTTATACTTTCTACAGAGAATGATTTGTTTTTTAAGTGAGTTTTTTTAAGTCCCAAGTTAACTGAAATTCATGAGTAAAACCATAATTTTAATGGAAGATTCACCGTTCCCTCATCATTTTATGTATTTCTAGTACTCAATCAATGCAAATCAAATGTTATTCCAT